TATAAAAGCGGACTCCCTGCTTTGCATTCGAAGCAATGCAAATGGGAATCAGTTTGTTCGAGTCGTAGCAAGATATTGCTCTCTACCTGAAGATTCATTCTCTGCAAGAGCTCTTGAACGGAACCGGGCTTCTGTCTGTACCTCTGGCCCCACTTCCCCCGCCCGTCGGGTTCTCCACGCCTTGGAACCCTGTCGTTCAGTATCTCAACGTTTATGAACTTGAAGTGGCCTATCCTGTTGTGTAAGATACCCTTCCACAGACCGCTCTTGTTCATTTGTACCACGTCGATAATGTCTCCCTTCTGCAACAAAAACCACGCTGCAATTTGCCTGATACTTCCGACGCGGCGATGTCCTTAACGACACTTCTACCATGCAATTTCACAAATTGAACGTGATACACAACGCGACGGCAGTTGCGCGCGGTGTGCCTCCTTTATGAACGTGGCTGGATTCGCGACGAATAGTTCCGCAGAATAGGAAGACACACCGAGAAATTAAATCTCAGACTGGTGAACGGTTCTTTTCAATATATCGCGGCGCGCGTCTGTCTCGTTCACCTAGAAAATTATTATCGGGAAGTGAATATGGGAAACACGAGCTTTCACGAATTCGATTCTTGCACACGCTAGTTTCACGTGTTATAGTTTAATGAACGAGGATGTAGGGAAATGGAGAAAGTAAATGCTGATTTATAGAGAACGAACGTTCTTTGGTTTTCTTAACGGAACGCGTTGCGTTACGAGGATTCGTTTCACGTAGGGAGTTAAATGACTCGAAGCGTTAACACTTTATCAATGAGAGTGTTCAACATTTTTTAATTCCACAAAAGGTGGAATTATGCAGCTAAGTCTTGAATACTAGGAAAAAGACAATCATATATCAATTTCTCGTTATTCGAATAATTCAGTTGTTCATTTGTAGCTTTCAATTTTGGATGTCGAAGCTCGAAGTCGTCCTTGCAACGGCATTCGACCGCAACGTGTTAATAATGAACACAAAGATTTCAAGTTAACCCTTCGCAATACATTTACTACTGTTTCATTAATTATTACTAACTGACCATATACCCAACAGTTGGTGGTCACTAGTAATTTTATTGCTAATGTGACCATAACATAAATTCAAAAAAGTAAATAAATAGATGAAAGATAATACGGAAAATGCCTGGAGATTGATGTTTCCTTGCTTGATTATATTATTGATGTCGCCAATAAGTCGACGTTTGTTCTTAACCAATTAACTGCGTTTGACGAGTTCACACTTCATCTTTTTATTTTATCGCGCGCTAAACGAGAGATTTTTTAAACTAAATTCCACAGTTAACAGGTTAAGGGGATAGAAATACCTGTAGTACAAAGAATTATGTAATTGCAATTTCCGTGAACCGGCTGAGAAGAAAAATTGCTATTCTCGAGCGGAGGGAGGAGTCGTAAAACAAACCTTGAACTTCAACGCCTCTTTATCGTACGGGCTGGGCGTGTAGTCGACTAGTGCTCTGGCCCTGCATAGCACGGGTCCGATGGCGGTCGGGCTGATGGCATCTCTGTCCTCGCAGGATATCGAGCTATGATTGCTCCCCGCACGTACGAGTGCTTGCGTGCTGGAACCGCTTCCGCTGGGAAGGCTCTCGACGCTACTGGCGCTGCATGGGAACGCTTCCGAGGAGGCGCGGTCCTGCCGGAGCCTTGAAATCTTGCGTTGCACGTCGTGCCGCAAGTTTCTCGCCGGGCCCGCGATCCGCGCCCTAGCGTCCCCCTCGAGGAGCACGCTAGCCTCGGACTGAAATTTCAACGGCGTATTGGCGAAACGCGGGGAAAAACCGCTGCAAGCGTTCCTCTCTTCGGTGAATGACGCCGGTGCGAATGAAAAGAGGAATGTCATGACAGTTGCTGTCACCTCGATCGACGAGCCACACGAAAATGTGCTCTCAACTTGGACAACCATTCTTGGGGTCCAATGGCATCGTGTATGCGAAATCTTCTTACGGAATCAGTATTGTAGGAATTCTGGGGAAGTTATGCCTGCTCTAGTGGTTCTTCTAGGATGCATTGTAGAGAAGTTTCTGGCGGGCGTCTTAGCTGCACGAGGAAGGAAGATTTTAGAGGATGCAATTTGATTATGAATAATAGCAGAGATTGGAGGATATATATTGAAGTAATTGCATCGTACAGGCAGCATTGTATTATTTGCAGGTAGAGGAAATTTCGAGATCTGGGTAAAAGTACTGGTAGAAGGTACATACACTAAAGAAAGTGTAGATATTGTCCTTGTATCGAAGGAAAGGATTTGCATTAGAAGGATGAATGAATAATTTCGATGACAGTCGAAATCTTGGTGAAGATACTCGGGATTAGAGTCCAATGTTTTTTCAGCATGCACTTAGACTGAGTTTTGATATTGCTATTTCAATTCGATTGGGTAGTTGTTTCGCGTGGTTCCTCGATCGAGGCGGAAATCGGTTGATGAAGTCTTTTTACAAAAGGTGTAGGATCAACAGGACACTTTTGAAGTTTAGAACGGTTGTTCTGCAAAGTTTTGAGAACATGCAACAATTATATATATATATTTATACGGCACGATCGTGAGATATTCACAAAGACCGTTGAATCTCGGTTTCGAGCTTGCATGATGGTCGTTGTCGACTTGTCGGTGGAGTAGACGCACGTGTTGTGATTGTATAACAGGTAAAGTTGTTTAGGAATAACTACCTTTGCATTGAACGTGTATATTTCTACGGCGTAAAGTGGTTTCGACTACGGTTCAGCGGAACAGCATAACAAAATTCGTGGCAGTTCGATTGAATGGTTAATAAATGATCAAACTGGTAGGCATAACAATTTAAACACATTTTTGGCTCGGTTCACTTAAACTCGGGCAATCACCATTCTGATTCGATCTTTAAGAGGAGGCGATTCCTTGCAAGAAATGGGATCAAGTAAAACTAATTATAGAACGAACAGACGTTTTCGTGTGAAAAGATCAACCAGAAAAGTGAAGATGGCCGCTACTAATACAAAAAAGTAACTACCCAACGTAAACACAAAATACTACAGATTTACGGATAAAAGCATTTTAAATGTAACCAACGAACAATGATAAATTGTGATCATTTCATTGAGTTAATCGAAAAGTGATGTCCAAAGTTTCGCAGGTTATTTAAAAGTGAAATTATTTAAAAATATCCACTGTTCGTTAAATTTGGAACTTCCAGTATCCGTGTTATTTTAAGTCTTTTACTAATGTATTTAAACCGCAATTTCGTTTTTGAGAAGAGCTATGCTCTAGGAATTTTATTAATTAGACATTTAATGTCGCTTTGACGAGGGGGAACGTTTCAATCGACGAGAATAATTTTATTACTGAATAAGTAATAAAACGCGTTAATACGAATACAGTATATTCAGCTTTGATAATCTCTGAATTAAATAACTTTGATCGATGCTTTCAACAACATCGTAACGTTTTTCCAAGCTTATCGCCTATTCCAGGATTAAACAACCAAAAAGCTAATGCACTCTCTCAAGGGGAAGTTTTCAACCAGATTTCGTTTTTTTCGAAAAGTACAGTGTAGCGTTTTTTAAATACATTTTCGTGGTTTATACATTTTATAGCTTGTTACAAGATTAAAATACAGTTCGCCTTTTTTTGTCCTGAGCTCGCTCGCTCGAGCGGGCAGGGAGACAAGGGGAGACACGTCCAACTTGCGCGCTCGATCCGGTAGTTATGGCGGCTCAGTTTCGATATTTATGTATGTTTGTTCTTCGCTCAACAAAGAACGCGAGCGATATGGAATGCGATGAAGTGAGATGTATAGTGCGCTACTGACGTGAGGTAAGTCGGCCGAAGGCTCAAAAGTGAAGAGGGGCAAGGGGATTCGGTCGCACGCTCCACCTCAGCTCGCAGCTCGGCCAGCAACAAAGACGCACCGAAACTAATCCCGCCATTACTATCGGGCCAAGAGTTGCGAGTGGACATTTCCCCTTGCCCCTCTTCACTTTTGAGCAATAAGCCGGCTTGGTTCACGTGAGTATTTAACGCACTGTATATACGAACATTGGCATCGTTACTTCGTTTTTGCGCGGTGACGACTGTTTATGTTTACCGAATCCCAAGGACACTGAGGCTCGGCTACTATTATTTGGAAGGACCGAGGTGAAGAGGTCAGAACACTGTGGGCACTTTCGCCGTTTTAGTCGATTAAAAGTCAATTACTAAAATTGCGCTTAAATTGAACATTATTTGTTCCCTAAGATAGTTGAATACATAAGAAATAAGATACCAATAGATTTTTTTTTATTCGTTCGAGCTCTTGGCCTTTGTTGAAAGTTCGAGGTTTTCGTTACGCACGATTTGCTCTTTTAATTCTTTGAAATATTTTTGTGTATTCTAAAAACAGCGTGTACATTTTTTACCAGGGTGAACGCTTTGCCTGTAAGTATATGCTGTACTTGAAATAATACATGATCGTTTTATTATCCATTTTTCTTTAACTATTCATATTTATGCATTATTAATAAGCAATGATAGTGCTTATAAGTATAATACTTCACGAATGATTTTGATATGTTGTAGGGCGAGATCAGGCCTTGTTTCAAGCACTACCTTATTCACCAAAGATTTCTTTTTATTATACAAAAAATATCTTGCCTCAACATACCCATCATTTTTTTAGAGAATTGTTTCTATACTGTAACATACAGCGTTCGACACCCGATCCCGACCCGGTCCTCCTATACTGAATATTTATTGATGTATTATATATTATGTAATTGATTGTTATTTGTTAGTTCTGGTTAGTCACAATGTCTTATTATTTATAATATTAATATTGTCATTTTTTACGTTCATGATATATAATATAATTCACTCTATATAAATATACATTTTTTATGTGTATATATAATTAACAATATTTAATATTTATTTATAATATATTTTATAACTGAGTATGAATATGTATTATTATATTCAACCATATTTTGTAGAAAAAATTCGATATACAATTGCTTTTAATTTTGACCGGCTAAAATGGCAAAAGCCTCCACAGTGCGAGGCTTAGGACAAAAGAGGCGAACTGTACATTTTTCTTCGCGCGATAGCTAAATAAAATTGTAAGCTTGGCCATAAACCCGTATTAACATGTTCACTGTCGACATATATCAGTGGTCTGACCAAAAACGGACTAACATGATACAACGTTCTTACAAGGCAGCAATTTATCAAATGTACTAAAAGGAACCACTGCCAACTTCATAATACTGCATACAAAACATACGGACACATAACATAGATACATAAATCTCAACGAGGTTCAGCGTAAAGTGAATATGACGTAAAAAGACGTCGTTGATGATAAACCTGTTAAAGCGTGTATCCAGTTTCACCACAGTCTAAAGCGAACAGAATGGGCACAATGAATTACGTTTTGTACGTTTATCATAGTTGGAGACTTGAGAAATATGTTGTCAATGCGTGTACCTAATGTCAGAAACCAACGACAAAACTAATTTATTGAAAATATTTTCTTTTTATTTTAAGTTTATCGCAGGTATTTGTTTTATTTCTAAATTATTCGATTAATCTAATATAAAGTTAATATTGTGTAATCGATTTTGATTGATGCAAACAGCTTTAAACTTCTAACCTTCAATATCTAAATGAACGAACATCAATTTTTCTAAGAGTAATGGAATGAACTACAATAAATGCCCGTAAACTTAATGGTAACACATTGACTGCCACGATGCTCATCGATGTCGAACGATTGATATCGAATAAAACGTTTATTACCGTAACTAACTAGACCCTAATATAATTTAAGAATTATGCAATAGCAGACACTGAATAATCCTTTCTATTTATCTTCCCCGCGAAAGACAAGAAGCACTATAAAACCCCCAAGATTCTCACGGCAATCAATGCGTCAAACAATTTCGAACTGTTCGCGACGATCGAAACGGACATCGTTTTTCCACCAACCCAACACCGTGCATCATTTCACCGTGTATACTACTTAAGTTATATCTACCGCAAAGACGGGACGGGAAATGTCGTTCTACGTAGCCACGGTCATGCGACACTTAAAACCAGCGCAACGACAGAAACGGCTGCATAATAGACAGACAGACAGAGAGAGAATGCGAGAGAAAGAGAGACAGAGAGAGAAAGAGGGAGACAGAGAGAGAGAGAGAGAGAGAGAGAGAGAGTGAGAGAGAGAAAGAGAAGGAGAGAGAAAGAGAGAAAAAAGGGAGAAAGAGAGAGAAAGAGAGAGAAAGAAAAAGAGAAAGGAGACATTTCGTGAAAGGAGGACTTTGTATATGTCACGTACTGTGTGTACGGTGGCGGAGTGCTGATTCTCAAGTTCTTCTTGATCCTCGTAGTCACTGCTCTGGCTCGGCGACAGTCCTTCTTCGCCGCTACTCCGGCTCTAAAACGTTGATATTCACAGAGACTGTTCTAATCACGCAAAATGTAAAGGAGAAGCGGGCTAATAGGTCGGTTTTAATAGCGCGCGGGTGCTGTCGTAGGAGGATCGATCGTTACATGGTAGGAAGAAGCTAGATCGAAATTCGTACCTACGGGGTGTACCATCGATAGTATGGGTTACGGGCGAATGCTAAGAACGAGGATAGAGTATTGCGTCGGAGTATGAAAATAGTTACCATACGTGCACGTACAAAGGATCAGCCCAGAATATGTGCATGCTGTGAGCTCTCGGGATAGTCAAGTTAAGGGGTACATTTAAGCGGTTGTTAATCGTTTGTCATGTGCCTGGTTATACTCGGGTGGTACCAAGTAGCCGATAGAGAAGGATTTGCAGCGCGAAATTAAAAGCTGAGTGGCTTTATTAGTGTTCTAAGAGTATGAAACGAGACGATTAGTAGATAGATGAATGACGAGCGAATATTAAACATTGTATCGTTCGGTACAGAGTTTCATTATTCTCCCGGCTTCTTAAGGTACAGCGTTACCTCGTTAACGTCGCGCTTTCCCGCAGCGGCGATTTGTTTTTTCCCTTTTAACCTTTTTTATCCGTGTTTGCGCGACAATAGGCCAATAACAGGGAAGGTAATATCGCTTTCCTGTTCCGTACTGTCCCACTGGTTTTCCCGAAAGCTACATTGACGAGGTAAAACTGATATGTATATCGAATTAGTTGCTAAATATTTTTAAAAACGCGATGAAAATGTTAAAAATTACGAAAATTTGAAACCAAGAAGTCAAAAATTTTCTAGAAACTTTCGCCACGACGAAGTTGCACCACTGCAAGTCCTTCGATGAAATACAAATTTTCAATTTCATTGCGACTCTTCGAAACATCACTGTCGTTGGCTCTTTTGAAGTGTTTGCTAAGTATCGAGTCTTTGTGGAATTGCGTTTCCTATGAATGGATAATCGGCGGCAAGTTGTTACGAACATGTACGGAAGAGAAAGAACCCAATCACGCTAGAATAGTAAGAAGGAACAATAAGATCGATGAAATTTCTATCTAAACATGCCTCGAGGGTATTTTAGGTACAGCATTCCGTTGTGAACTCGAATTACGCCTTTATGTACAAACTTTTGTTTTATTGTTAATAACGTAAAGCGCTTGCAGTAAGATATCCTAAGTTGTAGCGGAAATTGAGAGCAGTGTATTAGACGTTCCAAAAGTTTGAATTAAGTTCCTGGAAAATTGCATTCTCAGCCATTCACTCTAAAGTTCATGAAGCTCGGCCGGTCAACCTGTCGTCGTATGAAAAAAAACTTGTGTCTGTTGGACGCTGCTAAAATTTCACCGTGTTACACTTGGTGAACACTCGGTAAAATAATTACAAAATATATTGGCGAACGTTACATATTTGAATGTAAATAACACATCTGTTGCAGTTACCGAACTGCTTGTTCCTTCAGCCGAGAAATAAGTCGGCATTGCAAAATTATTATTGCAAACAGATATTTCGTTTTCGAAAAGGGTCTGACAACTCTATTAATTATTACACTAGGATGTGTTTGCTGTTTTGTCAACTGCAAAGTTTCGTAAATACGTTTCCTTAAAAAATTTGATGAAACGATTATAGATTTTTCTGCAAGCTATAAATAAATCATTAAACGGTTAATAAAATAATTCGGTATGTGCTTACAAAGAGGCATTACATGCGATTTGATTTTCCGGAGAACTCAATATTTAATTAATTATACGGTGTATATATGTTTGAAGCAAACATTATTAAGTTTACAATAATTACATTTAATTGTTGAGAAGGGAAATTCATTTACATCGAATATCATTGAAATTATTTTAAGTAAATTTCGTTATACCTGTATCATAATTTTTTATAAATTACTATTATTACTGTATCTGAAAAGTCGTGTCGATATTTCCTCAGTTAATAATAAAGGAACTAGAATAAATCATCCGAGAAACAATTTCATCGCGTTTTACAATACATCGCGACTATTTGAAAACAGTTCACCGGAATTATTTAAAATTATCCTTACTTTTCATTTAACGGGCTGTTGATGAAATTTCACCAAGTGAACAGAATTAAACGGATTATCACGCTTTAATATCATTAGTAATAATACGAATAATTGGGTGGATGCGCGCATAATAACACTGAAATCGATTCGCGTAATTATTTTGCAAACAATTTAATGTAAAAAAAGAAATGTAGACACGGTAAAAGCCTTGTTACGCGAATAATCTGTTAGGTACACGTTAATGGATATTCTTCATGCCTTGAAAATATTTCCTGTAGTATATGAGAGCATTCAACGTGAAAATGATATCAAATTGAATTAAATGAAGGGAAACCGTGAAATTCATTTGCTCAACGAACTTAAAGGGAACATCGACCAAAGAGACGATCTCGCGGTCGGTCCCTTTGGCTACGTCTGCGCGGGAAATTCAAAAAAAGAAGGTTCGTTGAAAAGTGGTATGTCGGGGCCACGTTGCAGAGCGAAAACTTTGACAATGTACAGCGAACCGACACGAAAAATCAATATTCATGAATACCACGCCCGTGTGCCTCGATATGCATTTAATCTAGAGAAATTTCGTGCGTTCGGGATCGAAGATGTTGATGCTCGCAACATCAATGTGTCGAGCGCGCGTGCACGTAAAAGTGTAACAGCCGAACCGTATATTTGCACGCAAATTTCTGGAATGGCGTTGCATACGCGCTACTAGAAACTAAATAAATTAGTATGCAGCCCGGTTCTGTTCCATTAGGTAAATAGGAAGGTGTTCCGAGGAATATAATCGCATTTCGACGTTAGAAGATAGCGAATTACTTGGAATAGTTTAGCCGAAGTGGTTTGTTTAAACCCCTCGCATCCGTATTAAGTCGAAATTTTTGAATACACTAAGCGAAAATTGACCCCGCCCTTTAAATCCCGTGTCGCTTACTTAAGTTCTCGCTTATCCGATTTTCAAAAACATCTACACATAGGTATATACTGTAACTTCATCCTCTAACGCATTTTAATTTGCAGTCTTTTTTATCTACGTTAGCAAATATATACAGAAAATATGAATACAGAAATATGAATACAGAGAATATAAATATTAGCACATAAAAAGTTTCAAGGTAACACGATACTAAATTGAAAAAAATTTTTAGACGCGAATGAACCCATCAACCCGATAACCGAACATTAACTTCAAAGCTTAACCCTTAAGAGACTAGGATGGTCTAATCGACTCATTTTGAAGTTTACGTCTGGTCACATGTTTTATCACGAAAAATGTCGTTTACTGGCATACGCACAGCATACAAAGAACACTGATTGAAATGAAAAAGTGTAATAACGAAATGATAAGAAAATATATAAATGCTTTGTTTTTTATTCATTTCAACATACTATTGGAGTTCGTTGGACACTACCTGTCTTATTATTATTTTTCTTTGTAGTCCTTCAAGGGTTGTAGATCATACTTATGCGTCTTTAACATTTGTGAAGTTTGTTTCACTTTTTATTGTCGTATTCGTAGATAAATCGTGAAATATAGGATTCACGGACATGTGAACAAGTGTACCTACGCGTTAACGAACCTATCGCGAAATCCGATAATAGAAATGTAACCGTGTTGCATGGATGTGTGATGCTGGCTGTAAACATAGCAAGCGGTGATCGAGTCAAATGTTGGCTTGTCGTAATGTGTCGGTGTGTCGATAGTTATGATACTGTTCGTGGTGGTCGTAACGACTGTTGGCGAGGGTGATGGTCAGGGTGTGGATCACCCGCTGAAAGTTGGTAACTCCTACTCGTGTTCACCGACACAGTCGACAGTCTCGAGCTCACACTTTACACCGCCCAAAATTAAATCAATCACGCCCTGACGTGTGCCCGCGACTACGAGGCCGTTATTTTGACACTTCCTCGCGGACGGGAGGGGAAAGACAGATCGAGCTGGACGGAGGGAAAACAATGGACGACGACGTTGTATCGCTATTGAAAAGGGTGGGCCTGTGACTGGTGGCACAATCGAAACACGTGTCGTTTCTCGAACAAATAAAATCGAAAACGTAGAACAGTATATTTCCCTAGAAAACTTCGTATCTTCTTTCGTCAGTTATTCCAATTTCTATTGGAATTATAATACGTTGGTAAACTTTAACGTAACATACCTTGAAGTAACATAAAAGCATAACTTACACAATTACTGCTGTAATTTGGTTTTTGAGCCACTTGCGGGTCCAATGTTACATTTTTCGTATTCGCGTACAAGAAACCGAATATTCGACATTTGCATAACTTTCGAAAACATTTTGAATCGGAACAAAATCAAAATTAAGCATTGTCATTTCTGTTTCCAACGCTGACAGCCGAAGTTAATAAAGGGGTCAATGTGAGACGTGATACGAAAATTCTGTACAAGGTTAAATCGATGAAAAAACGTAATTGAAACAAATTCTACAATACAAATCGACATATGATAGTCGTTGGAATCGTGTCCTCGTTAAATTATGCGTTCCATAATTGTCACGGTGAACAACGTTTTCTGTATGTGGCATCGGTGAAACTATACGGAACCGTAGAAATGGAAATAATGGAGAACAGGCGAGACTTCACGTTATTTTTCCTTTCGGCGGTTGTGCTTATGTTCAGTGTCTCTCGGAAACTGGTTCCTGGTGCAAACTTACCTGAACATCGCTACTCGCGTAATCTCCGCTTTCTCGAGAGGCTCTCGAGTGCGTAAGTGGTATGATAGTAGGTGGATTATTGTGACCTTGCGGCACAATAAGTCCTCGCATCGTCGAACTTGCTCCTTTCCTGGAACGATCCCGGGGTAAACTGATGTCGCCGGCTGTCCGAAGCGATATGACTCCCTCACTTCTGTTCTCCGGCCTCAAATTCAGCGTGAAGCATACTCTGTAATGTATTCACAGCTTTAAGTGCCGCATCTTTTGTACGCGATCTGACCTACACGCACCTCTTGACCGCGGCAAGAATTGACTGGTCAATTGCGCGTACCCCTAACGACAATACTCATAATCGTTGGAGAATATTATATGTCTAATTACGCAGATTCAACATTTTAAGAATATAACCAGCAAAATAGAGTTATCTAAAGAGAATAGTTTTTCTGAATAAGTGTTACGAAAAACGTTGCACTTTAAATATTTTATATATTCTTTCGTATTATTATGCATTCTATACGAATCCGCAATTTCAAACTTCCCATAAGTACATAAAAATCCGCAGTAATTTGAGACTGGAGAAGACCTCGAGCACCGCTAAGCGAGAAAGACTGACAAGTGAGCGAAATTAACTGTTTGAGGATCACTAATTAGCAAGATAATTAATGGATGGAGAAACCGAAGGGATCTATTGAGAACTGCCAATTTATCTACATCTTATCATAATGAAATTCGTAATTAAAAAAGAAACATTATCCGAGATTAGAGAGCATACAATTTTGAATAACCCTGTAGCTAATGGGAAATCGTGTTCTACTTGAAATATGAATGTATATTTAAAAAAAGTACACTTGAATGTGTTCTTAATTAAAATAGAGATACTAAAGATAACTTCGTTTCACCTTCCATTTTGAATAGTCGCGGTTGGCACGCCACCACCGCTAGCTCCCATAAGAAAATCTTCGGGGTCTGACTCATACGGAGGCTCGTCGTACCAGTGCTGACCCCCAGGCCCCGGACCTAACCCACCCCCGCATCGTGCGTCTTCGTCGTACATGTATGTGTCATCTGAAAACAAGAACGAAGAATGATTTCGGTCAGTGGATTTACAACTGTTCCAATTAACTTTGAAAATAATTCTTCTTGAATAACTGGAACTTAAAGAGGTCTGACCTTTACTGAATCCGACTTGTAGAAATAGCACGTACTGAACATGCGCCCAACAATTTGAACTATAGACATTTTTTATGATTCAAGGGAATAAAGAAATGTCTGAATTTATCGAAGTTTCCGAGTCACCGAAGTTCCACTGTACAGTACAGTTGGCTCACCACGTCCACATCGAGTTTCATCAAGCTAAAAGTGCTCAAGGGCAAGGGGTCTCGGCAGTACGCCCCACTTCGGTCCTTTTAGGAAACAGTACTTGGGCCTTTGTGTTACCGACATTTCGTAAACATAAGAAGCCAGCGAAACGAAATCTGACAATAAATGTTTGTTACATCTGACTCCGTTGCATTCTGTTCCGTCTGTTTTCTTCGTCACGCGGTACAGACAATAGCATCAACCGTTGTTCTATAGCTATTGGCGCGTGCATTCTCAGTGAAAGAGTGCCCTTGCTCCTGCGACTGTTTAGTTTGTCGCAACTCGACATAGATGTGGTGGGCCTACTATACCTCGATTAACCGAGTCGTCATTATCTAAATAATCCAAAGTCTTGGTTAAAACACAACAATTCGGATTGTTAGACAGTAAATTAAAACATACACGATCGAATTTTACAAATTTCTTCCCAAGTCTCCATTTATCCCGGACGTTAGTCGCCAAAGTAAACAGGATAATCGAGGTTCTACGGTATTTCGTATTTTCCAAATTGACCGTTGTTGCAGGAATGTCACGTCCCGGTATTACCCGAGTGTTTCAGCATGCGATTTCTTCTCGGTACGTGCACGGTGGTGCTAATGCGAAGTAATTTGAGACGGGAGAAGACCTCGAGCACCGCTGGGCGAGAAAGACTGACAAGTGAGCGAAATTAACTGTCTGAGGATCACGCACGTGCGTGTGTGGGCGCGAGAGGAGGAAGAAAAAAAACAGGAGCGAGGAGATCGGAAGAAGGGAGGGCATGGAGAAAGCAGTCGACGGCTGTTGACGATAACGAGATTAGCCGGTATATAGTAGAGGCTTCGTACCGCGGTTACTGCCTTCCCTGGGAACGCGATAGCAAATAAAGCCGGCGAGTCAGTGATAAATCGGCAATACGAAATTCAAAGGGCGCCCGGAAGATTATTCTCGACACTATTCGTTTCCCCTTATAACGCGTGATATATGCATGTATTCCTTTGACTGGAAATGTTTCTTCTACCTGGAAACGTTCGCTATCAGTCCGCAAAATTTTTACACTTATCCTACTCACAATTGGACATTTCATAATCTACTCGCGCCGAGCCAGATCGTTTGTCTGTCTGTACCCGTTTCCAGCTTTTTGATAGACACGTGAAATTTCCAACGTTTCCAGTATGGCGAAAGTAAAACGTTAACGTTCGCAATTATTTTGCTGAGAACCGCACCGGTGTAAGTCAAAAATCACCAGAATCACTTCTCTTTGAAACTGATTAGACTGTGGTTCTTTACGCAAACTCAAGTGTTTGAGAACATGATTAGAAGAGTATACATACGGTAGAAAAAGGTTTTTCCTAATCAACATTATAAAAACTACTACACTTTGAATATTTTACATAATTTATCGTATCGTGTGCCTTTTCCACAATTTTTCGCTCTCAAATTTAAAGTGCATAAAAATCCGTAGTTTAACGACGATTCTAGTTCAGTATTCGATATCTCATGATTGAATCATATTCTAAGTACCATGTGTTTAGCGAACAAAATATTTCTTAGTAAAACTTAATTTTCTGACATATTGTATGCTTTGTCTGCGTTCCTTAGAACAAAGTTTCTTACTCCAGCCTTTCCCGACTAGAGAAATCTTCGAAGTGATTCTCAGGGCGGATAGGTAACAAAAAATCTGGGTAAAGCTGCGGAAAGGGTCATCGGGAAATGTATACTCGGTTCAAGTTCGTCGAGGGTGCGGTAAAATGTGCGAGGTGTCGAGTATTTGGTAGTCGATTCCCGGCGCGGCCGGCACGTGCAGGGCTTTGCCCAAGGTGGACACACCTATGTGTCGCGACAGGAGTGACGCACACAGAAATAGGGACCAAGGACATGACACAGCGGGTTGGAGGAGACGCCATAGGGTCCAGGGAGGACAAGGCAACAACTAGCTAGAGGTTGCTCCTTGATGTACTCACCTCCGGGGAGCTGACCTCGTCCGTCCCGTCCAAGTTGCATTAACCCCTGCCGAATGTCCCTCAGTATCTGAAACAGAACAATCATGGGCATGAACGTTTCTTCAATAACTCGATTAAAGCGCGCATGAATCGAGATCGTCGCCAGCTGCGCCATTATCACGAGAGTATTCATTAAATCATATAGCATATACATAACAGCACGTATATTTATATATATTTGATTATGCATTACATTTATTGTATTATATTATCATTTTATTGGAATTCAATCGAACGAATTTGAATTTAGTAAATTGAGTAATATGTAATATTAATGTAGTTTGCGAAGGAATTAGCGGCGTAAACGATGCGTGGTCAATGGGTTGTTAAAAAGTGATACACTTATAAAGAAATGGGATAAAATTCGACGTCCTTTTGCATGGTTTCCTAATGTGTACATTAAAGTGTCGTTAAATAATAATGTATCATGTTTTCGTGGATACTACATGTCTTTCTGCTGGCTTCAAAATTACTTTTAAGTTGATTACACCCGAAATATTTTCAAACATGAAGGATTCGTAAGTTTTTAATGCGACACGGTCATTGTAAATTATGTCGAATTTGCCTACGCAACTGAGCAATTGAAATTTAACTGTTTTCATAAAGGGTGAAAATTATGTAAATATTATAAATATATGTCTGAACGTTTGAATACAATTCTCGTGGAATTACCACATGATAGAAGGATATTAATCATTTACTATATAATAACGTGTTAGGCTCGCAGTGAAGATTTTGAACAGAATTTAACAAACATAAATATTACCCATTCTTTTGAATTCAAATTAAATATTATTCTTCTGTTATAAATTACACTTTACAATAAATATGGACACAGAGTATACCTAGGACTTTCCTCTTTGTTTAAATGAATTATTAATAGCAAAGTAGTTGTATCGATCATAGTCGAGAAATAAATCATAGGGCCAGGGATTAATTAACTTTTACCGGAGAGCATTCAAACTGTATTGTTCTCGATGTCAACTGTCGTATCATGAGCCCACTCAAGTCGCGGACTCAGAATGAACTCAGATGAGAGATCCTTGTAACGCGCTGTTGTACACAGACTTCACAAAACTCTCCCTTGATATTTTCATACTCTCAGAGCTTGTTTCAAAAGTCCAATAAAAAATCCATGAAAAGTTTATTCCTCATCCGGTCGGTCTCTATACTACATAAACAGTTACGGGTTCAATGTACTCTAACCGTACGATACACATTGTTCGTAATAACTCGATAAAAACACACACGTACACCAATATCATAAAACTAATTTATTAAGTTATAAAACAGTAAAATTCGGTTCATCGCGAACGAGTTACTACGTATTATCGCACAAGAAATTTCTAATCCTCGAACTGTGACTCATAATATCCAAAAGCTAGAGTCTATTGGACACATCTCGACCTTGGTGAAGGTTAACACGTTGACTGCCACGAAAAATAACAGCGTTTTATATGTCACCCATTCTTTTCCTAGCAAAGATGTAAAAAGAAGAATTATTAATTATTTGGTATCACAATTCTTACGTTACACTGTTATCTAATTCTTACCAGTTACAATTATTTTCTTGTAATTTGGAAACTCCGGACATCGGTGACCGCTAAAGCGGTCAACGTGTTAACAAGCTGCCGCGCGAACCCAGTCGAAGCACACGCAACATGAACGCAATTATACGTTACAAATAAACCATAAACCTGGTTTCCATCGATCCCCGTGTCCCCTTCTGCGAATTTGTCGAAAGGTGCTTACCGAGCATGGAACAAGCGCGCAACTCACGCGCATTAATCGTGAAACGGTGAAGGATGCTGGAGCGCGGGGGAGAGGGGAGCCGGGAAGGATGATACAGGGGATAGATGGTCAAGTGGTTGCCCGTGGGATGATCTCGCAGTTTCTTGCGCAAAAGAGAAGTCAGCCCCGGACAGCAGCGAGAATGGGAACCGGAGAACAGAGAAGAAAGGTGGCTCCCTCCAGAGAGCAGTAAAGCTGCGGAGTAGGAAGTGACACTAAAACTTTTACACGGATACCGACCTTTATTTACATATTGCTTGCAGACTCAAAGGAAACTGTTCGCTTTATTTCCATCTGCCTTTTTCTGTCTCGCTGGCCAGCCCGCGGCCTGGAATACGTAGTTTCGGCCAATTTTTATGGGACCCCTTTTCCTCGTCCCCTTTAATTTCTTTCTGTTTTCAGCTACTTTTTTTTTGTTTTCCGTTGTGGTCCCTTTTCTATTTTTTCTAGTTTTCTTTTTCCCCTTTTTTTCTCTAAAGTACACGCGAACTTTTCCGGCCGACGCGCTCACGAGGATCGGTCGGTTTCGGAAAGTTGATTCGAAACTCGTTCGCCGTTATTATGCACGAAGACCGCGGCCCTCGCGTAATTCCTTCGTCGTAAACCTGGATTCCCGGTGTCCGGTCGACGCCGTCGGCTGCCCGCCCCCGCTGAAACGTTCTTCAAAAGAACCACTGCGCGGCCAGCGCGAGTATCACCGTGCGGAACCCATTGAGGGATATTTTGATGGTGGTTCGACGGTGGTTTCACGGTGGCTATAAGCCAGCCAACGGCTGCTCCCTGAACACCGAAGACGCGTTATCGGCTGCGATCAAAAGATCTGCATAAAGCAAATACCACAACGTATAATGCAGCTTTATGGACACGACAGGCGAAATCCGCGCTGCGCGACCTGCGACGCTTAACACGTGTTTGGGGATCGATTCTTTTGTGTTTTCCTTCTTTAACACATTCCTTGCCACTGGAAATTTCCGTTATATCTTGCTTACAAAGTGCACTGACTTTTTAAATGAAATATTAAGTTACGTTCAAGTTTTTGGTGACTTTTATGTATATTTTGATATTATTCCTGTACGTTTTCGCTGCTTCGCAACGTGTACCGCTATCCTTTGCCATATGTCCCACAAGAAATGTTTCCTTACAAAAATTGCGCGTGTATCATAAATGGTACACGTGGCACGGAACACGTTAAGTACAGATATTGTTAGTGCCCAGCAGTAATATTCTTTATGACGCGGACGTGCGTAGTTGGCTATTTGTGAGATTAGGATTTTTGGTTAACATCTGGCATGTAATTTAGACTTAAAATATTTTTCTTGACGAGAGAGCGCATACTTTATTGTCTAGTTTTGGGATTTCGCTTCTCTCCGGGACAGTTCGGAAGGGTAATTTCGACAATATTTTGTAACGGTGAACGCACCGGAGACACACCTGGAGGAATTTCCCCATGGTTGACAAACTGTTCTCGCCGCCCCCACTTTCCATACACGAACACCCACCCAGAAAGGGCGCCTCGGGCGCAAGGGAAGGGTGTTTTCTAGAAAAAATAGACTCGCTGATTGGTTGTTGTCAAAAATTAAGGAAATCCAATCAGCGAGTACTAGTAATGTGCTAGAGAGGTGGAAGTCCACCTCTAACGAGAGCGCTTCAATTTTAGATTAGAGTTGTCATAGACGCCTTAGGGCTAAGAACCTAGCAGATAGAGTGTACTTAAGAAATCTAAATACAAGTGTTAGAAAAAATACAGTCCACTACACAACGTCTCTATTCGTCGCTACCACTGACGGCGCTGTGACGCCCCAAACAGATATAATGAAACCGTACGCCGCGGATTCCTAATACTAGAATTATTTGTTTCATGCGATAGGAAGAATCAGAATGGAAGAAGAATAGAATTCCTTATTTCGTGAAATGTAATTTTCAGTTAATTGAGTTGTGGCATCAGTTTTCGTGTCGACGATGGTTTACAGAGTGACATGTAAAAAAACATGTATTAGAGGACTTATTAATGCCCCGGACTGTTTGAAATGGAATCGCGTTAGTATTTTTTGAGCGATGCAATTTCTATGAGCGCTATAGTGCGGAGAATAACATTTCTTCGCGACCAACTTCGTTTTATAAAAGAAACACATGCGTTCGGGTGTTATTTAACGTTCGTCGTTATACGTTTAGATTTCGAAAGTGTGTGATTTTCAAAACTGAAAATTTTAGGGAAACTGGTTTACTTGGCCGGCAATTTTTAATGAAATTAATGTATACCTCAGATAGAACAAAAATTGCGAGACGAATGTAAAAAAACAGATATAGAATATCTTAGAAAAATGATATTTAGTATGGCAAAACGATTAAAACAAGTCATAAAATAAAAAAGTTGCGCTACTGAGTATTAAAAATTAAATTTCAGTTTATATAATATTAATTATGTACAATGTCCGAATATTTTTGTAATGTGAAACATTACTATCATTATAATATTACTGAACTACAGCAAGTTAGATAATTAAGTTGTATATATTTGTAAATTACAATAAATACTCTATTCAAAGCAAAAATTTGAGTTACTTTCTTTCATAATTAATAAAAATATAAGTGATTAAAGCCAAGCATATCTTATTGTTCGAATATTTTCCTCATTCACTGTATATAAAATATAGATTTTTCATTTCTGTTACGGAATATGTTAAAACAACATTCGGCGTGTATAGAGTATAGTCGACGTTGTTCGATACGTAAAAGAAAAGCGTTTCCTCGTCTGTTGAAAATATAGAATGTAATTTTTTTTCTATAGGTCCAGGTTCTCTACAATACGAACGTTGAAAGGAAACCTGCTCGCAACGAACAGATACGTTAACCTGGTTCTATTCAATGGTTCGCGGTACCCGAAATTCAAATAAAATTTTTTTCGTAAATGAGATGAGTTGCGAGCAAATTTTATTCTGCAACTAGATCTTGTTTTTTCGTATATGATCACCAACCCTTTACTCGTACTGCAGATAACGAGACACTCGGTATAACAGATGCCACAGAAATCAAACAATGATAAAAAATTTTGTTTTACATTCGAATATTATATTGGAAATATTAGGTTTATTTATTATTAATAAAATATTATTATTGTCAGTAATATTAGTACTAATAATAGTAATAATAATAATAAATAGTTAATGTACAAAAACAGTGTTACACAATGTTATACTATATCTTACACAGAATAGAAATTAATTTCCCAGCTCCATGGGAGACGGATTCAACATTCAATTTCCTTGCAATATTTGGACCGTTAATTTTGAAATTGGTGTAAGTCCATTTTCTCTTGTTTCGAGAAAATGAAAGGTTAACATATCTGTTAATTACAAAATTTAGGCAAATTATATGAAGTCTGGCAATGTTTCTATTGTTTTATCAATATGTAATTTGTTTATATAAATTTGTTTTAGACGTATTTTACTAAACTGACTTACGGGCTACAAATGGACTTGCACCACTTTCAAAATAAACGGTCCATTTAAATATTTTACCAATTTCCACTATAATTATTCAATCGCCGTAATCATATCATACATACGCAAATACAATTTTAATGCTTCCCAAGTGTTCATAAATAAATTATTCAATTGTCATAGTAAACTATAATGAAATAACACTTATGCAGCAAGTTTCAAAGAGGAAAACCAAAAACATGTCGAACCGTGATGTGGTTAAAATGAAACAGGGATCGAAACGTTTAGTTGGCGCGCGATGCGATATCAAAAATCCGATGGATTCACCGGGCATCGTCAGGTTTAAGGCGCAACTGCTCGCACTTGTGGCGAAAGGGGAGAGCCACGGGGAAAAAGGAGAAGAAGAAGAAGAAGAGGGAGGACGAAAGAAATCGAGAGGAACGAAACTGCCGAGAGAGGAACGAGAAGAGAGCGAACGGGGAGAAACGCTGCTGGCGATATCGCGCGATTGCGCATAAGAAATTCACGGCGTAATGTCGCGGTACACATTGACGATTATGATGATATCGTTCCGATCTGGACGCTTTGCATAATAAGAGGTATCGAGATGGCGCAAGACAGACAGTCAGCGGGGATCAGGGGATGGAAGGGGATGGAAAGAAAAAGAGAAAGAGAGAGCGAGAGAGAGAGAGGAAGGGGAGCAACTGTCGAAAAGCACGAAAGAAGAAAGAGCAAGGGAGTGGGAGGACGGGGAGCGAAGTGATAGCGCACACATGCAAATTTCGTCTTGTGAGAATTTTGTCGAGCAGCGGATTGGTGGGCTACGGGATCGAAGCGTTGGTGTAGGGGGATCATTGTATCGGATAAAACCATTGGCTCGCGGAGCCAATATTGGTCGAACGACGAGAAAGGGGGTTGTCGATGATCCCGGGAATGCGCGAGGGAATCGAAGGAGGGAAATAAACGAGCCGGGGCACAGATTGGTTTAATCGAGATAGCTTTTTTTCTTGTCATGATTACCTCGAGCGATAAAAGGAATCGTCACTCGAAGGACACCTCCGCGGATCCTTCGATGAGCCGCGAACTAAACACTCGCGATCAAATGAAATTGCGTTTTATCGGTGGTAATGAGACTTTGTTGGGAAAGTTTCGTCCGTATTGTCCGATTGTTCTGCTTTTGAACTCGTTGATCGCGAAACAAACGCTTATTAAATTACTTGAACAATGGACACAATTTTTCTTACGGAGTGAAAACTGGCAAATTAAGATTTTTCACGGTTGTTATTTAATTCGGTTTGATCGATGTGTTGTCGGGATAATTCATTTTTGTAGTTTATACGAAATCTTATGTTACCTAAGCGAGGGCGACGTGGCGGTCAAAGTAGGTTCAGGAAGGATTTTATTTAACAATTGAGACATTTCGGTTACCAATGTTAAAACAAATTCTACAGAACACGTGAATCCATGACGAAAATAAATACCGTGTTTTTGTCAGCTGACCGTTAATGATAAAGTAAATCTAACCACCGCGGCTGGGAAAGAAATTTTAAAGTGAGGGGTTGAAAGTAGTGGTCGTTAAAAATTCGTTACCGCATATAACGTAGGTAGCTGCATTCTCAAGAAATATTGTCAGAAAAACGAATTCTATACTTTGCATACATGAATAAGTTGTTCCATAAGAAAGCGCCCTGACTATTCGTGTGATTTACCGAGAATTTTACGCACGCTATCGAACGGGCTAAATATGCAATGCACGTGTTTTACTGCAGTTGATTTCAATGCGATACGTTTGCGCCGCACGTCTGTGTGTAACGCGGCTGCAAATGTATCCGCGAATGTGTTTATTCATAACGACACAACTAAATAATCGAGAATATAATATTAATATTATAATTCGATGTTTTTTAGCAGCTGAAAATTTGCTTCCATAAATAAACTGTATTTATATAACAAGCTTATTGTAATATTTCAAGCCATGACAATACAGTTTGTAATTGGGAGAAATTGATAATTGAGTCGGTCCTGTTTACCGGGCTGCATGTATTAAATTTTTTATAAATATAGTCTCTGCATTTCTTTCCGCGCGACCCACATAATTTCATTAGCAAATTATAAAACGCGGATGAGCTTTAATTTGAACTGTACTCACCTCCTCGTGTTCTCTGTGAAATCTCTCCTTCTTTCTCAGTTCCTCTTGAACTTTCAGCTGTAAAATACGAACGAACGTAAGCAAGCATTCGTTTAAACTTATTAACCGGCGACGTCTGAAAAGAGGCCGGCAAATAATATATCGAGATTTTTATCGGAATTACCGAGAAGGATAAAACCGATATGTCGAAATTCGTATCCAATTTTTTGCATTTACGCGCGAACAGAACTGAAATACTCGTTGAGTGATATTATTCGAGATAAAGTGATTTCTCTGGGAATTCTGCAGTTTTAATAAATCCGGGCTGTGTGCATTACAATTTGTTACTTCAATCAACTCCTGCGAATAAACGAACGTATTTTCAATTTTCGGCGATTCCTTTGAATTTTTCAGCTAATTTGGGATTCAATATGTTAACATTGTACGTATACGCTTTAGAATTATAATATGTTTGTTCAATGATTATTACTGATTAATATAAATAATTCAATACACATCATTTAGTTAATTATAAGTACTTCAAGTACTAATATTTTTGTTGAATTATTCAAATATCTGCCAACTATTATCGACATTCTGTCGTATATCTTATGCAATGCTGCAGTATTTAGTGAACATTACGTACCGTTCTGTCTAAGTCATATCGTGAATATTTACTTTGATTTAATATTGAAATCATACCCTATGTATAGTCTCCTCGAAGCTATTCGGCTGTCCACCGTTCATCTGTAGGCACCTTAATCGGTCGTAGTCCCGGGGATCTACCATCGAACGTAGAATCGTGTTTCCCATATCTGGTCCTAAACCCAATCCACTCTGCAGTACACTGTCCGGTGTGTCTACCTATAACAAATAAGTCGTGCAATTAATTAATTTTTCCAGTTTGCAGTTCGATTGAAAATAATCATTATAGACGAGCACTGTTAACAAATTATCTACAGTTCGCCCCCTTTGTCTTAAGCCACGCTCCTCCAGCTTACAGAGCGGGGAAGCAAGGGGCAACGTCCACTCACGGTGCTCGGCCCGATAATTATAGCGCTCAGTTTCGGCGCGTCCTTGTTATCGGCCGAGTCGCGTAACAAAGAACGCAAGCGAAACGAAACGAGATGGAGATTGAAACGAACATTGGCGCCACATTACATTTCGGCGCGTCGCACAGTGCGAACGCCTGCAGACAAAACCCAAAAATTCGACTATTTATGTAACGAAAATTTGAAGGTTACTAATCCGTTGTTGAAGAGTCCTTGCCATACAAAATGGTCTTTATTTAAAAAATTTTTGTTTATATAACATTGGTATCGAAACGCAAAATATTACTTGCCATTTAAAGAACTTCATAGTATCTCTATAATGTAAAAAAAAATATAACCACTATATGTTCAGCTCTGTATCTTACAATTTTTGTCTGAAGCATGTTTTTATATCACTCATACTTTTTATGTATCGTAGGTGAGTTTAGTGGACGTGATGAAATAAACTCTACACGGGATTATACTTGAAAGAATGTTGTAATTTATATTTCGGGTACAGCTTGGTAAGACCGTGAGTCGTAGTGTTCGCGAGACTGGTGTTATTCTTTCGAAAGACCGCACGCTTCTGCCTGTCCGCTATTCGCATACCCATTAATTCCTCATAACATGTGACAATGTACAATAAATGTCTACTGTATTGAGTTTTGTCAGAAAACCTGCGTTTGGCCCCAGTGTGCGGAGGCTGGGGTAGTATGTACCATGTTTCCTGGAAGGACTGAGGTGGAGCGTGTGGCCGAGTCCCCTTGCCCCCTGACCGGTTAGCCGTCAGAGTGAAACACAGGACAAAAGAGGCAAACTGTACCAGTTATTGAACAGTTTACTGAAAATTCATAATGAATGTCTAAACATTTCCTAATCAAATTTTCAATAGAAATTGCAATTATAATCATGTATCAGCGAATCATACTGAATATAACCTAATCATTATTTAGGGACCAATATTCTCAGAAAATTATTAGATCGCTAATTAACATATGATCATAGCAATGAATATAATTATATAGTATAATATATTGATATAAATATTAGTTTAATCTTATAGTTATTATCATTATCTAAATTAATACTAATAATCGTTTCCGTATGTATGTTGAGAATATAAATATTTCGAGTCGTTAATAGATTATACCAGATCTGTTAACATCGTACATAGAGGAGCATGAAGTATAAAATATCCAGCTTGAATTTCACCAGATGTAATATACTTAGCTTTAACCGCGTGATCCCCGATATTGGAAACGAACGCCACAAACATGCTGGTCACGATGCTCAGATAAAAGTGCTTTCCTATAGAGCATCCTCTGGATCCTTTTATGAATATTGACGTCTTCGCTAAGGAGAAAGTTTGCGAAGAATCCCAAACATTTTACATGCCGCGTTTATTAAAATATATGTTAACCGGTATTTTCTTAAGACCATTCGATCTTTAAAAAGGTATTATTCACACGAATTAGTCGCTTTTTTTCGAAATTTCCGTTATGATTATCGATAACGCATTCTGTATTCTATAAATGATTTCATGGTTTTTATTAAAATTTATATACGAATTATAGGAAGAAAATTGAAATTAAATTAAATGGATTGTAGATTACAGAAATCTTCACGGCCATTTTAATATTTCTGTAAGTAATGAAATATTCTTTTACGTTAAAGTATATTTTTCGATGGTCATTTTAAGAAATTCTGTCCAGCGAACGCCGCTGGTCTAGGATGACATTAAACCAAAATTTTCTGCAGGAAGTACAGTATTCGAAGCACGGAAACGTCGGCACGAAGTTAGAAAAGCAACAACCACGCGAAATGCACATCCCTCAATATTCTACCAAATATTTAAGGGAATTCTAGTCACGAGTGTTATCACGACACTTAGATGAAAGCGTCTTACGCTGAAGATGTCCGTGAGCCTTCGAATTCTAATAGGGACACTATGAACTTCACCTAAAGCTTCGAATGAGTCTGAAGTCTCGTCCGAATTATAATTATACATTAACATTTTTACCTATTTATAAATAACTTTGATCATTTGAAAATGCAACGCCATCTGTTTGCACGGTTGAAATTGAAAAGCAAAACGTTAATCGTATCCAAGATGGGAAAACATCGAAATTACAAATTTTAATATTTAAAAAATCGATGCAGTACTTCAGCATCTTTATGAAATTTAATCCATGTAATTATTTTTATACATGAATTAGTAAAAAGGACAGTTCGAAGTATTGAAGTATAATGCTACAGAACAGATTAGTTTTTAAGGCACTTCTACTGATTCTACTGATCAAGGAAATGAAAATAAAATTTTATTCTATTAGGTTTCTTTCGTCATTGAATTCATATTTTACAATGCGTGTTTAAAAGAACAGTTTAAAAATATATTTTAAGTTAGCCGATGCAGAAGGTGCAAATGATAGGAAGCATGAAAGATTAATTTGGTCATATATTTATGAGACAGAAGCATGGACCGTCTTCGTGTTTTTCGTCCTCAAGGGCGGTCGAAATACTTTATTTGCTCGGAATATTCTTTCCGGGTCAACACTCCGATTATGAATTTATGCACGTGCATCGCTGGCAGTTTGCGTAAATCGATTCTCAGCCCAGCTACATACGTCCGTACGCGTGATCGACGCGGGGCATTTAAATGGCACGTAATTCAGTAATAAATTAAGGCGATCAACGTATGCCACATAATATATGCGTTCACCTTTATTCTCCTTCTGCGTTTTTATCGGCCAACCACTAGAAAGTTCAGAAAATTCTATTTCTAGAAACGACTGTGCATATCGGACGCTTCAAGGTGTGTTGTCTCAAGTAGAAGAAAAGTACGTAGAACAATTAAGATATTTCACTCCGTTAGAATATATAATATCATCACTTTGGAAATTATTTTTATTTTCAAACAAATCACTGAATGCCATTCGTAAAACGAATAACAATTGTATAAAAGCTCTTCCAATGTATAGCTCGTAGTATCGAACTGCTGACGTTTGTATATATTTATACGTTCATAAACCAATATTTAATAAATTGCGAATAAAAATTTATTTCCCTATGAGAGTCTGCAGTAAATAAAAATGATACGAGGGTTCGATGAAACTGTACGAAAAATCTTGACACCATTGCGTTTTACGGGCTCGCGAAACTATAAATGTATATCAATTGCTTTCTAGTGTCGATTAATCAGATGCGATATCGGGACGCATATATATTCAGCTGCGGAATTACTTCTATTGAGTTTTTATGTCGTTCGTCGCTTATGATCGAAACGTGTCTTTATGCAACCACGATGGGATACGTTTTACGGTGTTAGCACAAGCTTGTGTTATCGGCGACCCGCAACCGGCCAATAAACTTGACGAGGGAGCGAGTGCAGCGTCCATTTTATCGTTCAAGGAACCGTTCTCAACTTATACAGGGCACCGTCACTCAATTGATACGCGCGGTCTTTAATCAAACTTCGTATAGTGGTGGATAATCGAAAACCGTTTTACAATCTATTACTTCGCTGGCTTTCGCATCTCATGTTTCTAGAAACAAGTAACAAACAACAACCTACAACACCGTGCCGATAAATCCTAAATTTCGATTCTTTCGAACTATTGTACATTTGAATAGCTCAGAGTAATATTGGCATACCATCTCTGAATTCTCGAAGAAAACAGCTTTTATAGAATGTTTCTTGATTCATTAAATAGCGGTATTACAATCTTATTAACAATATTAGCAATCGTAATATGTTAATCACTTTTTTCTCGAGAACCCAGAAACAGAAGTCCAGCCGTTATTCTTCAGAGCCAACCCGTTTAACTCTTAGAATTTTAGACTCCATAAATTCCCTTTATTAAGCGATACTATAATAATATTTTATTTTAGTTTATTTTAATATATACATCAAATAGTGTTGAATGTTTGGTTACAAAAGAAACGTTGAAAAATTAACTATGTGAAGAAGGAAAATTGTGAAGCGTTGAAATTCATCTCGATAGCTGAAGGTTAAAATGCAAATCCATTATAACAAAAAACATGAACTTATAATTACGGATATCGATATTCCACAATGAGGTCATAATCAAGTGAATCATTTAGTTTAATTATTTTTATTTCATTCATTTTGTAAGATTACTGCTATGGAGGTCTCGTCGGTACTCCGAATCACGAGAAGTTAGGCGGAGTAGAAGACACAGAAGGTAAGGCTAAAGTTTCTTTTAATCAATCGAATGGAGTATACTTGTTAGATACCGAAGTCTTTCGCTCCAATTGTTGCTTGCATTTTTGTGGTAACGACAGTCGCTAAGAATAGAAGTCTCGAACGTTTAGACTCGTCTGCTGGTAACGTATTCCAATGCGCAAACGACATCCACGCCAGCTTTTCTGTCTACTGTCTGCTGCACGTATCTAAGTGAATCGGGATTGGCGCGCTAATGACTGTTTCATATTCATTGGGCGTGCAACGGGGCCACCCTACTGCGCTTCGGTTACACACGTCTCGTTTTATCGCTTCTGGTTCGCCTCCACAGCGGCATCTTTCACATTGTCACCCCGATAACACCTTGCGTGAACGGCTAACTGTATTATCGATCCGCTACTCTTTGACTGATTTCAATTCTCGCCGCAGGCTGGTCTGAATGCTTAGAACTACGTGAAACGTTGTCTCCATCCATGTCAAAAATACAGATTTACCACGTTCCATTGTTAATTCGAACGAACATGGGTTATCCATGTACCAATCAGTTCATGATAATCATATTCTATTTTTTATTACCAGATTTATCCGTAGCTCCTCATGTATTCTGTAAGCAAACCAATTCTCTTGTATTA